ACACACACACACACACACACACACACACACACACACACACACACACACACACACACACACACACACACAGTGGACAATGGTTGCTACCTCTGGAAATGAGTTGAGATCAAATCACAGACACTATAATGATGATGACGCCAATACATGGAGTAAAAACATTTATCAAAGCAGAGAGAATAGCATTATCTTTCCTCATCTGAACCACCTGCTTACAACATAGTACAACAAAAAGGCTAAAACAATGGTTCCTAACAGAAAAAAGGGGATTTTTTAACATGTATTCCCCATCTCAAGTGGAAAATCATGTGYTTACTTATAATCAGTGGTGGGCACCAGTCCACTAAAGCACAAACCCACTAKTTGCATACCTAAATTTTTGTTTGCGCTTTAGCYGTCATACTAATTTTTATGAATCATAAGCAGATTTGCGCTCTCTAAAATTAAAATGCAGTACTACTTATATCTAATTATCTACCAATCATCATTATCTTGAACAGCTGAAGGTATGGCTGTCAATGAATCACAACACGTAATGTGTTTAACTGCACCTCTCCCAGATTAACACATGTATTGGAAATGTAGACATTCTTCCTGACAGTTGCTTTCGGTCAGMGTTCTCATTTCCCACAATGCTTTGTGTCTGCTTYCATAGCAGGAAGGCAATGTTTAGTACTCCCTTTCCCAGCAAAAACAGTAAACGTTTGTAATCCATACTAAAATTTTYTATGTATTGATTTATTTTACTTTACAATCAGAACTCAATACTTGACGTAATTGGTCGAAGCAACGGGGTTACAGACTKAGAAATGATTTAAAYATGTTATGCTGATAAAGACTGACATRTAGAGGTCAACTGGAGCAACTACATGAAAAACTTTCATTTCCGGTCACAAATCAAATCCGTCATGTACCCAGAATGCATCGCTTCAGTTTTCCAATAAACAGTTTTYAAATTGCTCTATTYATGCTTCTTTAATGAAGAATCTACAACAAACAAAAGAAAAAGACAAAGAAGCAGCCGAACTAGCAATCCTCAACAACTTTTTWAAGAATCAGCCGAACTAGCAAGCCTCAACAAGTTTTAATTTTTACACCAGGAGCCAAAGTTCTGTTTCAGGAAATCAGATCCCCAGCAATCGACGTTTGTAGGATTAAACTGTACAAGGGTTCATTCACAGCTAGTTGGCAGTGTTGTACAAATATTGTACAGTTATTTCCAGCTGGTAAACGTCAAATTGAACTTGTGCTTTAGAATTAGCTTATGCTAATTTTCTTTGACATAAGCGTTTTTGAAGTTGTGGACCAGAACAATTTCATAAGTGCTTTTTAGAAATTGTGGAGTTAATCTTTGGATTAGCGCTGCCCASCACTGCTTATGATCATGACCATGTTGAAAATCATATAGGAAACATYTATAAAACCTGTGTCTCATATGTTAATTTTACATAAACATGTGAAAACTGCTTTCTTCAAAAGAAGTATTTTTTTTATTTATTTAATTTAATTTAAAAATTTTCAGGCTTTTGTGGATTTTATTATTAATGTGAGCATTAACAGTCCAATGAGTGCTGGCAAAAAATACTTCATAATACTGGCAATAAGAAATCAGCTGCAGTCAATCATATTCACTAAACTAAGCAATAGTACATACTCAAACATTCAGCATCACCTCTTAATAAGTATTCAAATGAGTCTATACATTTCTGATTGTACTTTTTTGAGAAAATCCACAACAAATTTAAAATAGTGCACCCAACTCTTCTCTTTTTTTTAAGAATTCACTGAAGTTAAATTCATTAAATTCATACAAATAGTTCAAATAAATCCTTAAATAAATCATTAAAAACCCTTAACGGTTATGATTTTAGTGRATGTGTTTAAATATCCAATTCATATCTAATTGCAACTGTATTTTTGATCACGTTTTGTAGTTTTACAATTACATTTTGCTACATTTTTATGGGTTCTGTCTCTGAAAACAGACCATTGTGCTCTTATCAGTTGTCCAACAATTTTCAGTTTGTTTTTTAATGTTTTCATCTTGCATCAATACATGTCTACTTGTTTTGACCAAACTGCACATACTGTATGTCTGTATTAATTCAGTCTAATCATGCCATTTATTTTAATTTAATGTACATGTAAATACAACATTATTGTCAAGCAGTACTGATTAAACAACCYGATCTCAGATATTAGACACACTGTACCTTTGAGGTGGGATTATTACGTTTCCTCAGAAACATAGCAAAAGGACAAATGAACAGAATATAAGAAGAACGCTGCGAGTATATTTRTATTTTGTAAAATGCTTGTTAGTATGTGCCCAGTTATTTCTCAGATTAGACCTCTGCTCAGTTTGAAGTCCTTGGCACTACCATACCAGGAATTACTTGTGACTTCAGGCTTTAAAGTGAAATAAACTGGGTTGTGTTAGGTGTCTAAGCAAGTGAAAAACACTGACAGTGAGCGGATAGTCACGCAGCCCTGCAAACTGAACTAATCAGGAAGGGAAAAAATGTGGAGGAGAGCATAAAGGACTAAAAACAACTGAAATGTGTTCAGCATTTGAAACTGTCAAAATACACAGTAATATTCCAGCTCAAATAATTCATTAAATATATCAAATATAATTTTATTAAACATGAAGTGTTTCTTCTGCTGTTTCTGTAGCTTTATCCTCGCATAGATCATTGATAGGATATTTAAAATGGCACACCATGTCGATGTAATGATGAAATGGCCATTAAAAAAAAAACAACACAATAGGAAATGCCTCATAAAACAAGGCCGATTTGCTTTTGCAGAGGAGGCATTTATCACAGTCACATACAGTACCTTTTAAGTTTGTCGTGACTTTCAGAACCTGACGAACTGTTAAAGCCAACAAGCCCCCGGGCCGGTCTCCCCCGCTGCCTAATGGCCTTCTCTAATGGCTGTTTGTCTTGTTTCGTGGTAATTGGGGAGAGACTGACTCTGCAGCAAAGTCCACGGTACCCTCACTCTGCTGAGATGCTTCTGCTCCCGTAGCCCCCTCTGGGTCTTCTGCTTTGTAGGTGCCAGATTTCGCTCTGACAATTTCATAATTGCCATTGCCCCCCTCCACACACACACACACACACACACACACACACACACACACACACACAC